GGGCAGCGGCGATCCACAATCATCCAGAATGCCATCGGAGATGAAAATTGATGGAATGTTCAATTATGCACCGCTTTGTAAGTTCCATCGATTCAAGCAAATCAGCATTTTTTATTGCATTAGGAACGGAGATCTGTGAGAATTTTGCATAGATTCATTTTTGTGCACCAATTTTCACTTTTGTTAATTTTAAATTATATTCATTAAAAGGGTAGTCGCCTTTCAAATTCTGATGAGGTAAAAGGCAGTACAGGCCTCAAAGACCTTGTGAGGGAATGGAAGAGGATAGTAACCAGGGCCAGGAACAGCGGCCTATTCTGAAAACCTTGTTAAATAGGCAGCCAAGTTCCACGGTTATTTTTTCCACAAGTCGTTCTGCCAGTGAAAAACGAAAAAACCCAAGAAATTGTTGTGGGACATTCTGTAGTCATTAAACATTCAAACGGCATATAAAAAAATGCAACTAATTTGATCCATGCATCATTGTATGTGTAGGAATTAATGGACCGAAACACTTCATACCATTATAATAATCTCATAAATTTTCTAATTTTTTTCATTTCTCACCTTTCCCTTTTCCTTTTTTTTTTTCTTATTCTCTTTATTTCATTCCTTCTTATTATCATAACTTTCTGTTGCAGGCACGATGGCCTCGGAGCAATCGCCGACTGTTAGCGCACAAATGCTATCGCTTATAAACATATCTGCGCCACGTCGTGCTCGTTCCGCTACCTGGAATTACCATTTCAATGAGGGCAGCGGTGAATGGTTCGATATGACACTCATCCTTCCCTACCATATCGTTTTGCATGAAATCCAGATTCGACCTCACATACCTGCGCTTAACAGTAATTTTCTTTTTATTTGCTTTTTTTTACAAAAAAAAAAAGTCCGAGGAATTTTTCCTTCTGCCTTCCGTTTGCACTTTTTCTTTTGTTCTTGTACTTATGCTCCAAATCTTTAAAAAAAAATTTTTTTTTGGGTACTTTACTGAAAAAAAACTCTTCACTTTTATAAATTCTTTAGATATTTTATTGATAAAAAAGAAACTACACCATGCGAGATGTTAAAATACATTAAATGTTTTTTAATTTTTTAAAAGTCAAGAAATTTAAAAAAACGACCATAGACGTTTACTATTTGAAAAGAACAGTCTGGGCGGTTCTTTTAAAATATTAAATGTCTAAAAAATAGTACATCATGTTTGGGAAAAAAATGTTGTTTCCATGATGCCTTCTGTCCTTTCCCTCTTTGACCCCCCC